TTTCGAACTCAAAAAGAAAAAACCATTCACAATAAATATTTACATCTCGATTTATGTTGATCGATGTTTCATTCTTTGACAATAACCATGAGTCCATACCTCTATGTAATATATTTCAAAGTGGCATTGTGAACCTACTAATCTAACCAACATATTTGCTTAACTACTCTAGACACACCTATAGTTCACAATCATGCATACTACTTCCATATTAACATAGTCATATAATCTACGTTCTCAAACAATAGTTGCAGCATTTCAATCAATAGTTTTGCCATGTATGGTTTGTCAAGGTAAGCATGGCAAACCCACTGCGTTACCCATTATAACATCTATAACCATACAGTGACCGTCTCTGCAGAGACACACACATAGCAAAGTATCCGTTAGTGGTGGAAAGAATCATAATCCAACATGAACTGAGGATAGCCCAATCTTCACATGTCCCTCCTCTAACCTTGTAGTTGTAAGAGTCCTATATATGAGTTCGGTAAGACACTTTGACTCTTCTCATACTAGAACTCACCTATAGATTATGTTGGGTTGACTTAGGAATGGTCGAGGCAACAATCACAATTACTTGATTCATTTCGTGTATGGCTCATGGAAAACCTCTAGTGGACTATCGGATCCAGACAAACAAGCGAACCATTGAGTGAGTAATGATTTCTTTCAAGTAAGTCTTCCACCTTAAGCTTTACTTTATCATTTAATTTCTCGAGCAACATTTCAATTTGCCCGGGTCAAATATCATCTATCAATTTCCTAGTGATTGGAACCAACAACCAAGTAACCTTCGAGTTAAAGGTCCTTTCTTCCGTTTAATAATCTCACCATACCTCTTATTCACGAATTAACGATGATTACTCGAACAACCTACTAGTTTACTCGACCAACTTCTCATTCGGCCCGTGATAGTTCCTTTCACAGGGTATAACCGTGCCAATGCAAGATTCGCGTTAAAGAGAAACCTCATAAAACCGTAGTCCTAAAAAATCGTTCAATTGTGAGTTGAGATCAATCTGTGATCCCCCCTATACAAACCTCAACTCTCTCTCAATCCACCAAACAACGAGGTTTCTTGATCCATACAGGATTGGGTTACGGCTTCCCGATATTATGGGTCGAGTCACACGTTCGAATTACACATGGCTGCCTGTACCCTAACCATAACCCACCGTGATTATATATTAAGTCATTCATCAAGACCGTTATGGTTTTGAAGAGTACCAAATCTAACCTCACCCCCGAGCCTTATAATTGGTTCCCTTTAACCTAACTTTTATGCTCTGCTACATTGACCACAAGCGGAGTCTCTACTTTACAATTGCATGTTGGTTCCGGATCGAGACCATATTGATATGCGTGTCGCTACCGAGATTGAGGCTTTACGGATCCGTTATCGCTACATAGATTGAGACTGTACTGATCCGTATATCGATCCCTATGGATCCCGGATCGATTCTCTATTATAGTGCCTTACCGTGTCCAGAATCGAAAGTTGCCAATCCGTAGGTCGACCTCTCTATCGAGCCCGAATCAAATCTTTTTCC